TGTAGAGATGAGGTCTCGCCAAGTTGCCCAGGCAGGTCTCGAACCCGCGGGCTCAGGCAATCTACTCACCTCAGTCTCCCAAAGTGTGGGATTACAGGCTAAGCCATCGAGCCTGGCCGCTCCTCACTTTTCGAGGGGAGGGGGGCACAGAAAAACCAGGAATGTATTTATAAAAAATGGTGTATTTGTTCTTACATGCTTGAACTTCAGTCACCTTCCAAGCACTCTCCATTCGATGCAGTACACCTGTCGAGACACTTTTTTTCACTGCTGAGAACTAATTTTGAACTTGTCTGTTTGGAGGCCTTTTAGCGCTTCTGCCGTCTTTTGGTTTTTACCTCTCCCACATCAGCAAAACATTTTCCTCTGGGGACTTTTTTTAAATCCAGGGAAACAAAAAAAGTCACTGGGGCGAGTTAGGGTGAACAGGGAGGGTGGGGCATGAGTCATGCTGGTTTGGGTCAAAAACTGCTGAACACTCAAGTGTGGGGTGGATGGGTGCGTTGTCAAGGTGCAAGAACCAGTCACCTGTTTGCCACAACTTGGGACGTTTCTTCTGCAAATCCTGATGCAACCTTCTCAGAACTTTCAGATAAAAACTTTGGTTGACTGATCCAGAGGAACAAATTGTGGAGGCCTCGCCCTCCAAAAGATAATTCTGGTTTTGTGGGACCCCCCGATATTGCTGGTACTTGTCTGTTTGTCCCTTATCTGGCAGCCTTCCCTTCCAACTGTGTTTTTCCCTCTCACACACCTTCCCTGTCTTCCTCTGCCAGCCTCTCAGCTTTGGCCACTTCCTCTGTTCCCATGTCTCTCCTCTTCCTCCCTTATCTCTCCCTTTGCCTCTGTCTGCTCCAGGTTGGGAATTCCAAGTCCTTTCTATTTTTTTTTTGAGTTGGAGTCTCACTCTGTCCCCCAGGCTGGAGGGCACTGGCATGCTTGTTAGGGTCCAGATAAGGTGAGGGTGGATGGCTGGATGGAGGGGGGAGAGGTGCAGGGAGGTACAGCAGCGAAGGGCGCAGCACCGCTGGAGCCAGCAAGCCAGAGGTGCACGCTGGCAATCCGAGGAAATGCAAAGAATTGCAACACACAAAGGTGAGAGAAGAAAAGATTTATTTAAGAAAGCTTTGCCGGGCTCGGTGGCTCAGCCTGTAATCTCGTGCCTTTGGGAGGCCGAGGTGAGTGGATTGTCTGAGCCCGCAGGTTCGAGACCCGCCTGGACAACTTGGCGAGACCTCATCTCTACAATAAATCAAA